TGTACGATCACGATTGGTGTATATTGGACTTTTTTTATGGGATGTTGTATATATTATTGTGTATTTGTACTTTGTTTTAAGCATACACATGTGCTTCATTGTCATAAGAGATATATTTTTCATTGTATTTATTTATTCATTTAGCTTGGCACAATATTGTTATACAAACGTAGACACCCATTTTTATATTTAGATTTGTCTCTATTTTTAGATCATATGTGTATTATATGTCTTACTTCCCTTCTTCTGTGCTCCTGCTGACATACAATTCCACTCCTGCCTGTTCTTCCTTTTTGTGGTGTTATTTGGTTATATACGGTACTTTGAGTGCACGTATATCAGAGCCTTTATTATTATTATCATACAGGATTTATATAGCGCTAACAGTTTGTGCAGCGCTTTACAATATAAGGAAGCCATTACAGACACAATACAATTCAAGACAAGATGGTAAGGAGGGCCCTGCCCGTAAGGGCAGTTTACTGTTAAATAGTTCTTGAGACGTCGGTTGCTCCAGACCCCTGATGTAGTCACGTGTTAGACGTAATATACGTAGGGTGGAGCTTCAGACATCACTTCCTTTTTCCTCAGCTGAGCCGGACGAACGGGCGTTCAGTGCGCTCTTCAATTTGTATTGCTGGATCCATCTGGTTTTGTGCAATCTCTGTTTTATCTGCGATATTGGAAGTACGCATTTTATTCAATAAATGTTACTTTTGTTGGACGATACGCACTATGTCTTCTCCTTTATTCTCCCTCTGAAATGATGATGATACCTGCGATCTGAGGAGATTATCTTGCCTTCATTTATACGGGCATCCCTTCCCCAATTAAGAAGGGAAACGCGCTCTGAGACCTAGTTCTGTGGGTCTACCTCCCCAGGTGAGCACCGTTCTGTCACTAGCACTCACTGGGTGAAGGTTTGTCAAGATTTTGTGGTTATCGCATACTTGGAAGCCTTATCTGGTCCGGTGGTGGATTATCCTCTGCATTCTTCTTTGTACGATCACGATTGGTGTATATTGGACTTTTTTTATGGGATGTTGTATATATTATTGTGTATTTGTACTTTGTTTTAAGCATACACATGTGCTTCATTGTCATAAGAGATATATTTTTCATTGTATTTATTTATTCACTTAGCTTGGCACAATATTGTTATACAAACGTATCTTTATGTTGTGTTCTTCAAGGATTTTAGTATTTTTACAAGGATATGGTCATCCCCATATTTTATGCAATACAAATAATTCTGCATTTGTTTCTCTTTTGTGTATTATGTTATTTTTCTTTATTTATGGCATTGCCCCCATTTTCCATCCTTATAAAAAAAAAAGTATAAAAAAAAAAAGTCAGTTGGCATTGGATTGGTGGCTATGAGCAGCACAGACAGCTCAAGTTTTCACATATCAGATCCCGCTTCTTCCCCATGGCAGCAGATGGCGGCTTTGTAATGTTCCTGCTGTGTAAGAACAGAATCCAGCGGACATGCGAGTCACTAATAACCAGTTAATAAGGAGACGTCTGACACATCCCCCAGCAGCAGCCAGCAGCGAGATAATACACAGCTTGATTTTATCTTTCTTGTGATTCGCGTGTTTGTCTCTAAGCAGAAGCCATGAAAGTGTGTCAAAAACTCAGCAACAATATACACCAGTGCCTCAATCCCTCCTTGTACTCGGCAGTATAAAGACTCCCTTGACTTGTGCAGCTGCCGGTGGAAGGGAATTAAAATAAGATTTAATTCTGATGCCAGGAGGTGGGTGATAGAACTTAATTATAGCAATAAAACAAATTCTAGCTCAGAAAAGTCTATAAATGTTATATATCTGGAGTATCTATCTCACAAAAAGAAAACTGCAGCCTATGGACGACTCCAGATGTTCCTGCCTTCTCCATTGTCCATTCTTGTAGTTACCTTTTGGACTGACAGCTCTATTCTTCTATAAAAAATGAATGCAGACTTTCATTCTTACAGCAAACATCATCTAGATGCTCAGAAAGTGAGGAGAGCATGAGGTGAGATGGTTCTAGAAGAAACAGTTCAATGCTCATCTGTATGAGACCTTATCGACCAGTGCGTAGATCATAACCTTGTAGGACCTAGCTGACAGTGAGAGACCTTCAATGTCAAGTCCAGAGATTCAGAACATAGACCGCTCTCATAACACCAGGAGCTTTCTGCTTCAATCCGTGTTCTTTAGCATTCCGTGAGCATTTTAAATAGGGGTAAATCTAGAATTCAAGTCCATCCCTCTACAGACACAAACCAACCATCAGCTCTGTGTCTTAAAGCTCAAGCCAGTAGTCCTCAGATATTTTCCTCCAGGACTCCTCTGCGGTCTTACTCCTTCCTAGGACCTAGAACCAGGGAGATACCTTTCCATCTTCTGATGTGGCTACACTTCTGCAGCATCTCCACGCCAAACCTAGTGCCCAATCTTCCATCCCGCTCAACCAGCACTCCACTTGTTTCATTTCATTTCAGCACACAAAGATTCATTTGATGGCACCACTAATGAAAATGGAGGCTCAGACATATAAATGCTCATGGACTCTACTAATTACTTCTCATAAGCAGGAAATAGCAATACTTCGATTAGCACTTCGATTCATTTAACTCTTCTCAGACTGCTGCACCTTCAATCCTCAGCCACAGGAACCCTTTTTCCTGATTGAAGGGCAGTTTCCACCAATCAGAGAACAAAAACTAGGTTACGCAACTCTACTTGGGTAAATAGGGGCATTTCATTTAAATACTCTGACCACCTAATGACCTCCTTACAATCTGACCAGCAGTTTATGACCCCTATGCACCTTACAATCTCCTTTGATGTCATCTGATGCAGATAATAATTCTGCTCTGCAAAGGGCTAGATTTACCATTAGACCTAGAAGACCTAAGCCCCTAGACAGGGCCATTTTATTTCATTACCCCCAACACATAAAAGCATGCCAATACCAAATAGAGAAACAAAGAGGGAAAGGGTTACAGGTGGGGTGAGCAATAATAAGGCAATAATAGCAGTTAAAGGGAGTTTCACTGATTATTGAACATACATGTCAACTAGTTGGTAAAACATTTGATGGTAGTGTCATTACATAGATAATTTTCTCTATAGGTTGAACTTGATGGACATGTGTCTTTTTTCAACCTAACTACTACTAACTACTATACACCGTATATATCTGTGTTTTTAAATAAGGAAATTCTCTGAAACTACAGCAGCATTTTGATTTTTGTGACCTAAGCAATTTGTTAATTGGATGTTGTCTGCTCACAAATGTATATAAAAGGTGCTGTCTTGCTTGAGTCTCAGACTGACTTTCTGACTTTGTCTCTCTGTACTGCAAGCTACAAGCAATACAAATTGCTGAAGATACTTATTTTCTTCTCATTTGAATTTCTTTGACAGTTTTACTTAAACTATATCTAAACCCCAAAACAAAACGTAATATATTGCAGCTTACCAGTCATTACATGTTGTGGCTGCATTATTTATCTTTTCCAGGCTTTTTTCATTTATTTTACCTTGCCGATCCTGCCATAAACGCAATTCCTGTCCTAGGATGACAGCGCTCACTGTACTCAGGGCCGGATTAACATAGTGGCTACTGGAGCTCCACTGAAAATAGGCCCCACAGGCCGGCCTGGATAGGCACAATCAGGTAGAGGCACCGGTAGCCAGGGCCACCCTCGGGGGGTACGGTCAGTACTGTTGTAAGGGGCCCAGGCGGACAGGGGGGCCCGGGCTCCAAGCTATCATTTTTTCTTATGGAATTATATTAATAGTACCATTTGCCAGGTCCCGCCCCCCTCCCCACGCTATTGGTACCTTCCTCAGACGTGTTTGCAGGGGCGGAGCTTGCTTTCCCCGGGCAGAAGCACCGGAGATCGTGGCTGAAGAGGAGCATGTCTGCTACTCTGGAGGGCAAAGGTAAGTGTTTTGCAGACAGAGGCCCCGGGATTGGTGGGAGTTGTGATAGACACTGGGGGGGGAGAGAAAGAGTAAGAGAGACAGATCGACCGACGCTGAGAGCTTCTCAGCATTGGTCGGTCAGTCTCTCTCATGCTTCCATCCCTTCTCTCAGCATCGGCCAACTCAGGCAGCAAAAAGGCTAGGGCTGCCCCTGATCAGCATAATAGTCAAGCAACCACCCTTAGTTAGCTCAATGATGACAAGATCAAATGGTCTGATGAACAATTTGGAATGAACGTTCAAATGAAATTCCAGCATGTATGGTCTTCTTTAGACTAGGGTTTACCTTTAAGAAAGCCAAAAATAAAACAATTTAGGCATACACTGAGTGGCCAGATTATTATGACCACCTGACGTTTGTAGGCAAATTAGCTATAATTTGGCGCTGAAGTTGCTAGAGGGCCAGACTAATATAAATAGGGAAGCAGGTTGTTTACCACGACAGTAGAAGTGATTTGTTTCTGAAGATACGGGGAAACAACGCGATTTAACAGCCTTTGGACGTGGGATGATTGTTGGTGCTAGGAGCCATGGAGCGAGTATCAGAAAAACAGCAGAATTCCTTAAATGTTCAAGAGCAGCTGAATGCACTGTTCGCCGTACACTGCATCGTATGGGATATGGAAGCCGAAGGCCTGTTCCAACACCTTTGCTGTCTGCAGTTAACAAGATAAAACGTCTCCAATTCGCACAGGAACACAAGAATTGGACAGTTGAGCATTGGAAAAAAGTCATGTGGTCCGATGAATCACGTTTCCAGTTGCATCATGCAGATGAGAATTTGGCGGGAACAGCATGAAAGCATGCACCCCACATGCATGAGTACAACCCTTCAAGCTGGTGGGGGCAGTGTTATGGTTTGGGGCAGTGTTATGGTTCGAGGAATGTTTTCCTGGCATGATTTAGGCCCTTTAATTTGTGTGGAAATAATAATCTGGCCACTCAATGTATATAACATGTACACAATGCCAGGTTGCATTAGCAAAAAAACATCACGTATTCCCTATGCATGTCACTTACCAGTAGTGAAGATAATTTTCCTAGGATCCTGGGGAAAAAAAAAAAAAAATGTAATGAAACCACATGCTTGAAATTGCTTTGTGTCAGGAATCCAATCAGAGACTCCTTAAGCCGCCTAAATTTAATTATTAAGACACAAAAACACTGACAAGGCAAATAGTGACAAATGACACATTATTCTGAATGAATCTTCATTTATTCAGCACCCCACTCCTCGATCTCCTGTCATCTCCGGGATAAAATACGTGACAAACATTGTTCAGTCATTCCTCTTGATAAATGTGCGCTGTGAAATAAATGTCCTCTTGTTTTCCTTGCATTGAACTCTAATCTCTACATAAAAGTCATTTTCCACTAAAGGGGGCCATGCTTGATGCCGTTGACACTTAAAGGGGATTTCCATTGCACGGCTCACACACAAGAGTTTTTGTAAGACCCTAAACCGCACATGTGGTCGTTTCTCTTAGTCGTTTTTTGTACGGTATTACATAGTTACATAGTTACATAGTATTTGAGGTTGAATAAAGACATTAGTCCATCAAGTCCAACCTATTAGGATCTCATTCTAGGAGTACCCGTACCCCTGTATATTACGGTCCCTTAAGAAATCGTCCAAAAGTTTAGACTTTGTTTGACTCTTATGCCATAAAACCTATTTTCCATCCAGTTATCATTTTTTCTATGAATTCTTCACTGACTGACTGACAGGTATCGGGAGTTAAGCCGGCTACACATATGAGCACATTTATAGACATTTCTAAGTAGCCCTGTCTGCCACCTCCTGCCCTATTCATTTGAAAAATGGAAGGAGCCGGGTGGAAAATGGTGGGCCAACAATGCCTGCAACCAATCAGGTGTAACACTGTTCAGGTATTTTGACAGCCAGTGGGGCCATAATGATTCTCAGCAATTTCCAGGAAGTGTTCCATGTTTTTCTCACACAAACGCTTTTACATGACACCTTAACATGAGCATTAAATCAACACTAACCTCATTTTTGTACCGCGCCACATTAAGCGCAGTGTATTCGCTGTTGTAGTTTGTAGAAAAGTTGATAGCGTTAATTACATGAGCTCCAACATGCAAGGCTGTAGGGAAACAAATAGCATACATTAGCCTAAAGAAAACACCATGGCATACAGGGAGAGATTTGTAAAAGGCATTTCTAGAATCTGTGGAGAAACACAGCAATCATATTCTTACAGAATTAAAGATCTAACCCAATCACAAAATTATACTTCATCTGTAGGTGGATGGGCTCAAGCTAAATTACACAGAAGGCAGATCTGAGACTCTACTTATCTGCCATGCATCTCTCTCTCTTTCTCTATCAAATTTCTGTTTTATGTTTAATCAAGTAAAATGCAGCAAGACAAGAGAGACTCCCTGGTGGCAGAGCTTCTAATGGACTCTGGACAAATTGCCAATAAGGGTATATTTATGAAGTGGCAAATCACTGCACCTCCAATCATTGCATGTGTTGTCATTAGCTGGTTAGTAGATTTGATGTATTCACACCTGAATGTACCCGAGCAGATCACATTTGCTGATGTTTAGCCATCATCTTACCATATTTATAGCAGAACACTAGTCAAAAATAACAAAAAATGTAAAAGCCCATTAAAAATAAAATAAAAAGGCAGTGTTTGCTGCAGTGTTCGCTGCAGTGTTCACCTTCAATCTGGAGCAGCCACTCACAGTACCTCTTTTCTGCCACTAGATGCCCTCAGTCTTTTGAGTGAGGGCATCCAGTTACACTGACATGGTCTGTGAGTGGACAGTGAAGGAGAAGCAGCACATTGATGCCCACATCTCTCAGTCACTCTGCTTTCTCCTTCTATAAGCATGAACTGAGTGGCTCCTTGTACTGCTTCCCCCATCCTACTCTGAGCTCTGCTGAGCAGAGATTACAAGAGGGTGACACTTCAAATTCAGGTACTTAAACTGCTTGCATAAAAAAAAAAAATACATTTAAAGATGAACTCTGGGTATAGAAAACAATGTACCCTTGCAGTGAGGCTAGCGCTTGCTTTGGCTAGGGGGCTCAAATAAAGTTGTATTGCTTACCTGATCCTCGGTTCCATGGCAGTCAGCGCTCAATTCCCTCGCCCTCTGCTCTGGCTATGCTCAAGTGAATAGACCTGTGATGACGCCAGTGGTCCTCAGACTGCTGAAGCCCAGGGGAGAAGAGGCTGCAGAGACCAGTCCAGCAGCCTGGGGGGAGCCAATGGGACCAATGATAAGGTGAGTATATCTGCCTTATTTGAACCCCCTAGACAAAATTAGCACTTAAAGTGACATTAAAGTCACCCCCCCCCCATGCTGCTTTGAGGACTTACCTTAAATGACACCTCTTGATCCGATCATCTTCTTCTTTCCAGTAGTTTTCAGAAGTCCCTCCAGCGCTGGTGGCGGTCTCTGATCCATTATTGACTGCTGTGTCTTCCTGTCCCGCGGTGTCTGTCCGTGTGCATTCTCCCGGAAGCGTGCATTCACCTCCACTGTGTCTCTCCTCTTCTTCTCCCCGAAGACCTCTACTGCACATGCGCCTACCCTCTCATCCTTCACGGCCCTTCAAAAATCTATAGATCTTTAGACGGGAGCGAGCGGCGGAGACACAGGTAAGTAATTACAGAGTTGTTAACTTTTTAATTTTTTTATGCTTTTGCATATGTCTATTGCTTGCTAGCAGTAGATATATGTAAAAACAAAAGTAACTTTAATTCTACTTTAACTCTTGCAGTGCAGGGGTAGTCCAACTGCAAGGGAACGATTTTCATTTTCTCTTTATTAATAATATATTAATGAATAAAGAACTGGGTGATGTTTTCCAATGATGACCCATTTGAATGCAGACCAGCACTGTAACAAATGCAAATCTAGAGGTCCAATGAGCAGCCAATGCAGTTTAATCCAGACATGCACATCCGTGCCCAGACCACCATTTTTTATAAAGGCGCCCCCGTGTCTTATGAAGGAATCTCAGCTGATCTACATCACAAAGGCAGTTCCTTGTCTGTGAACTGAGGAACATCGTTGTAACATCTTTGAACATGATTAAATCCAATGTTAAACACATATGGCTGCTTGTCTCCTGACATTATAAAACAGAAGAGCGAAAAGCTTGATGTCCCACAAGGAGCAATTCAGCGACAATAAGCAACAAAGCTAGCAGGGAGCTTGGAGCCTATTGAGATGGAATTAGTTTGCAGTGTGTATTGTCACAAGTGGAACGGGGAAGAGGTCACATGACACCGCTGTCCGCAGATAACTGACTTCGGTATCAGCAGCTAGATAATTACCAATTGTGGTTCTCCCATCTGCTGTGGACTTATAGCCAGACAATGACATCATCTGCAATCTGCAGGAAGTTTTGACTCAGACTAAATAAAGGGAAAAATGAAACGCATCAAGGCCGAGCAGACAGAAAAAAAAATTGCCTTTCGGATCGCGTATGCATTTCATTCAGTTGGTGTAAGTATCTGAAATTTGTTTTAAGCAGACTATGCGCATTCTAATTTGATTGCACTATATTCTTAGATCTACCAATAACTACTTATTAAAAGGCTTGCTGATTGAATGTAAGGTGTGCCCTCGTGTCATACAGTTGTGATAAATCTAAAGGTGCCCATACACTGCACGATTCTCGTACGAGAATCGCGGGAAATCCCGCGATCGTACGAGAATCGTGCAGTGTATGGAAGGCGTGCGACCGTTTCTACTGTATGGTCGCACGTCTTCCGTCAAACAAGCAGGCTGGAAAACCCGCCGGGAATCGTACGATTCTCGGCGAGTTAGTGGCCTGCTTGTTTGACAACTGCCGAACGGGCCGGTGTGTGCACACACACACTGCCCATTTGCCGTCATCGCAAGCCCGCCCCTCATTGCAGTCATCGCAAGCCCGCCCCTCTGAGGGGCGTGCTTGCGATGATCGCAAGTACGATCTGCCTGTCCAAGATGGGCAGATCGTACTTTTTTAAAGTATTTTACAAGCCTCGCAAGACAAAAGTCTTGCAAGGGTTGTAAAGTGTATGGGCACCTTAAGGGTCACCATACATTTATTGATTATTGGTGTTTATATAGCACCAACAATTTACATAGCACCTTACACACTGCACATTCGCATCAATCCCTGCCCTCAAGGAGCTTACAATATAAGATACCTTACTCGCATATAGGGCTGATTGAAAGCCAATTATCTTACCAGCATGTCTTTGGAGTGTGGGAGGAAAATGAAGTACATGAAGGAAACCCACGCAATTGCGACCGGGCCTTGGCGTTCTGCCACTTGGGGGAGCCTAGCGAGGAAGAAGAGGGCCCCCCCGAGAGAGTGCCGCTCCTTCCCTGCTACACAGCCCCTGCAGTACGGGCAGCTGTGCGGCAGGGATGGGAGAGGCTGTCACCAGCAGAATATGCTGCAGGCACCTACGGGCAGCACATTCTGCTGTGTAAGGACCCGACCCTCTTAGCCCCTCCCCCTGACCAGGGAGATGAGGAAGAGAGAGGGGAGAGAGGGGCTGCAGAAAATGCCCTGATACTAAACGCAGATAGCGGTGTTCTGTCGTGAACGCCGATGTAGTCGAATTTGCCGACCTCAGCATCTGCGCTTGCGCACAGACCAATATTATCGAGGAAACGGATCTATTCACAAAGTATTTCGTTTAAATTGTTAATTGTGACCGTTAATAATATTCCAACCGTCATTTACAGCCATGGACTGCATATCATTAACAGTCACAATTAACCATTAAAAACAAATACTTTGTAAACAAATGCCGGTTTCCTCAGTAATCTGTACGCAAGCGCAGATACTGGGTCAGCGTTCTCGACAGAACACTGCACTAAAATTTTAAACAAGCAGCTGCCTGAGGTCCTGCGCTTGCTGGGGACCTCGGCAGCCTTCCTGTAAACCATGCAGTGCCATGGCGGTTGGGGGGGGCATTCAAGGCTTCTTGCATCGGGGACCTGAAAGTTCTAGTTATGCCTCTGCAGGGAGAACTTGCAAACTCCAGATAGTGTCCGTACTGGGATTCAAACCAGGGACCCCCAGCACTACAAAGCAGAAGTGCTAACCACAAAGCCATTGTGCTGCCCGCATGTTACAATCTGACCATATAATCTTTGTACAATCAACTTTAGATTTACTAAAACTAAGAAAGTTTTAATAATATTTGTCGTCATATTGCTTATCACATAAGGCACTTGGGTCACAGACACAAGGAAATGTTTTCTTTTTAATAATAGACCTTGCCACATTGCTTAATTTATTAGGTATTTGGGTCACAGTCACAAGAAATGAACCTCTTTTCACAATGAGAGAGTCAAAGAAAGGAATCTTTCATTAATTTCGGAAACACTATATATTAAGGTCTACTAAGGTTAATGGTGAGTATTAGTTTAATAGGGAAATGGATAGTATAAGTGAAATTGGTTAAATGAAGGCACTCTTTTATGAATATTGAAAAACTTTTTTTATACTGATTACTACATAAGGTGCAGGGGTCACAGCTATAAAGAATGAATCACTTGGGCACTACAATAAGAGAACCTATGATAAGGCCCACTTGTTAATTTGGGGAATGTAATCTATCAAGGTATATCATAGTTTTATTGAAGATTGATAGTTTAAATGAAACTTGTTAAACACAGACACTTTTCTCACAAGGGAATTTTAATAATAGCTTTTTTCTATACTGTTTATTACATTGTTGACGGTTTGGTTACACTAAAGTGTTTGTATTAACTGTATATTTGTTTATTTATTGTGGAAAATAAAAGACTGTGTAAAGAGATTTACTAAAACTATGTAATTTACTGCCTCTCCAAAAAAAAGTCACCACCTGGATTTAGCTAAGCAAATAGGTCAGAGCCCTCCATTGGATACTAGGTCTAGGTTCAGCAATGTTATGTCCCACCAAAAATGAGGTCAGCTGCCTACCTGAATATAATGAATGACCAGGTTTTTCCATCAATGGGTTTTTTTCTTCCCTGATGGCAAAATTGGGCATATTCCAAGATGACAATGCCAAGATTCATCGGGCTCAAATTGGGAAAAAGTGGTTCAGGGATCATGAGACATCATTTTTACACATGGATTGGCCACCACAGAGTCTAGACACTAACCCCACTGAGAATCTTTGGGATGTGCTGGAGAAGATTTTACACAGTGGTCCGACTCTCCCATCACCACTACAAGGTGAAAAATGAATGCAACTCTGGATGGAAATAAATGTTGTGACATTGCATAAGCTTATTGAAATGATGCCATGGCGAATGCGTGCCGTAATCAAAGCTAAAGGATGTCCAAAGAAATATTAGAGTGTGTGACTTTTTTTGTGGACAGGCAGTGTATAATGACCCTTTCAAATCTGTCCAACCAATATGTATCCATTCAGACAGGCCCTTGCACTACACAGCTGTCGGTAGGTTATATCAGTGGTCCCCAACCCCCGGGCCGCGGCCCGCTACCGGTCCGTGGATCAAATGTTACCGGGCCGCAGGCGAAGCAGCGCTCCCGACTCTGCTCTGCCCAGAGTTATATGATCAGTTTGTAATGGGTGTGGTGAAGACTCTGGCAGAGGCTGTAGCACTGGAATAATGCAGAGGTAGGAGAGATGTATCACTAGAGAGGTATAGATACTACCACTTCTACTGCGGTACACTTTCAGATGGAATCATTTTTACGACTGACACTGTTGTTTGAAAGCAGGCCCATACTTTAATGTAAAATTTGGCTAACAGAGATTCATTAGTAAAGTTCAATGTGAGGAAGCAACCATTAAAAATATATCTTCAGCATATAATATCCAAATAGAGACAGTAGGGTACCACTGCACGTGTAACTCGTTATATATATATATATATCTCAGCAGAGCCTATCAGGAGACACTAAATGATCCTAGGAATATCCAGCCCAGTCTTGCCTCTGATTTTTGGGTTACACCGGTGATGTCCTCAAGGGACGGGGTCTAGACCTGGGAAGCGCTGTCCAGTGATATCTTGTTCCTTCAATAATAAGGCAGCCAATTTGCAGCCACTTAGCACTAAGAAACAGATGATAAAGTGTGTCTGGGCGAAATAGCAGCTGCAGAATGTGTACTGCAAATTCCATACTGTTTACAACAGACTTGTCTTGCACTCTTGGAAAACTAAGGTTATCTGCACCTAGGTCAGCTACAAATGTCAATTGACTCCAAGCAAAGGAGCTTTAATACTGTGTATACACTTTTCTAACCATTTAAATCACTTTCAACCAGCTTTCAACCTCTAACATTGTCCATACTCTTCTAGCAATTTTCTAACAATTTCAACAATTTCAATTACTTTCAAACAGCTCTTAATTGCAAAAGCAATTAAACTGGTCAAAAAATGCTTTTCATCATAGTAGGGACAAAGCTTTACATCATCACCCTAAAAAAAAAGGAAAGCATGCCAAGTCTACGAAAGTGGGATTATCCTTGGCTTCTAGCCTTTAGGTGAGCCAGCATTACTATATGTCAGTGTGGACCTCTAAACCTAAGCATGCATAGTCTAATAAGAGTTGTAGAGCCATTAGGCAGTGACGTAGTACAGTTTTCTAGACATCCTTATCCTATTATGTCACTGCCTTATAGCTCTGGGACTATGCTTTTATTTACTCTACTTGGAACAGTAGGCAATTGAAGGAGAGGTTGGGACTTCAATAGTAACAGAAAGATGTAAATGAGCAGATAAAGACGAGGACAAGGAGAAGAAGATAGGGTTTTGAAGGAAACCAAGGATGTAATAGGTGAAGTGGAAAAAGGAGGAGGATAGTTTGCTGCACTTCTGATGGGAGAAGGAGTGAAATAAAGCCGGTGGAGGAAAATAATGAAATCCCTGTGCCTCCCTGTGAGGCTTGAGGATGGAGATGACATAGAGCAACTTCAGCATGAAGCATGGTGATCTTTTCTGAAATGGACTAGTAGCTATTATATCAAGTAATGCAGAGCAAGGAGCTTCAGACACAGTTTGCTGCAATTGGATTAAAGGTTCTCTAGCTGTGAAGACTGCAAGTACTTGGTCCTTTTATTTTTGGAGTCTACTACATCCTGGGTGTCCGGCCCCTAACCCTCTCTCCCAAAGTTCTTCAATAAAAGTTCATCAGCATCATATCATATGTGTTTTAACAATCTCCAATATAGCGTCGTCAAGTGCTGTTGGGACAGCAATGGAACTGTATACCCTAGAGAGGCTAGGAGGGCCGAATTCATCCAATGGCTCCTTTGGGGGTGAGTGCTACAGGTGTAACACAGATTAGAAAGAAAATGTAATTACCAAGTGCCTGATTGGAGGGGAAGAGAGAGCATGGTATGGGTGTAACACAGATGGGGAAGAAGAATTGGCCTAGTGCCTGGGTGGAGAAGAAGGTAGAGCAGGGTATAGGTATAGCACGGATTGGAAAGAAGAAGTGACCTAGCTGCTGATTTGAAGAGAAAGGCAAGCGGGATATGGGTGTAACATAGAAGAAGAAGTGTCTTAGTGCCTGAGCGGTGGAAGAGGGACACAGGGTATGGATGTAACACAGATGGGGTAAAAAAAAAGTTACCCGAGTGCCTGAGTGGAGGAAGCGGAAGAGTAGGGTATCGATGTTAAATGGATGGGGAAAAGAAGTGATATAGTGCTTGGGTAAAGGAGGAGTGAGAGTGGAGTATGAGCGCAACACAGATGGGGGAAGAAGAAGTATCTTAATGTCTTAGTGGAGGGAGAGTAAGACAGTGTATTGGGTGTAACAGAGATGGAAAAAAAAGAAGTGACAGAGTTCCTAAGTGGAGGAAGAGAGAGACAGGGTATTGGATGTAACATAGATGGGCCAGAAGTTATAACCTAGTTCCTGAGTGGAAGAGGAGGGAGAGTGGAGTATGGGTGTAACACATATAGGAGAACTTGGTAAGGAAAGCCCCAGTGCAGCTCCACTTGGTAAACTTCATGGACCTAAGGCTGGACAGTGTACATACAATGGGTGAAAGTCAATATCAGCAGTATAATGGCTCTCCTATGTGACATATCTATACCGGTAATCCTTTTCTTTCTTTAACTTTTGTCACGCCTCATGCATTTATTTTAGAGTTAAGACATGCTTAAATACACTGAATTCAGCACTGCTTTTATTGACTGCACCATGCAAACAAAATCCCATTACACGGAAAATTAAATAATAGTCAATTGTGTGCTTTCTAAAAAAAAAATCTTGATGTGGTTGTATATCTTATTCTGACTGTTTCCATGGCTATGTATAGTACGAATAATGTGGGAGTTGATAAGGAAAGCTTGATCTGACCTCCACCATGTTGCAAGGCATAATTCATCTTACAAACGTCCCCTAAAAGAGCAATCACTTTCATGCCAGCTAAATTTGTGAAGACACCAGCAGATGTTGTTATTACATTTGCTAATACTTAAAGTGACACTAAACTCAGGAGTTTAGAAACTGCAATGGACTACAATCTCAATATAAATTAGTAAACTAAATATGAGCTTGTAGTCCACCATGGGAGTGAGCTTGGAGTGGTGGCTAGTTTACAACACACACAGAGACCATGGGGAACAAAAGTTGCCACCGCTCCAAGCTCATTCCCGTGATGGACTACAATCTCACATTTAGTTTACTAATTTGTATTGAGATTGTAGTCCATCACTGGAGCGAGCTTGGAGAGGTGACTACTTTATAACACACACAGGGACCATGGGGAACAAAGGTAGTCACCCTCCAGAAGGAAGGACAGTATTAGTACCAATTCAGAGATATTTGAGGATCTACAGCCGAGTGATACACAAATAAAAAAACTTGAATACATTTTTAAGATTTAACTCCTAAATTTAGTGTCACTTAAAGCTTTGGCTATAGATACAAGAATAAATTGCAATACACATATGTAGTGTTTTACCATGCCTTGTGCTAAAGCGTGTAACCCAAGGCATGGTGGTATAAATAGCTGGAAGAGAGGGATGGACAGCTCTGTGAGCCAATCATCCTGTGTTACATTGACAACCAAACAAATCTGAAAATAAACATCACCATAAACCAAAATAAATTACCTTATATTACTGAAGATGTTGTTGAAAATAACAGTAAAGGATATTAGTAAAGGTTTATAGAAGTTTACCTGTAAACAAACATATTGCAATGCCACAAGCAGCATGGAATGATTTGTATTTGTCCAGCAATCTTCTAGTTTTCCGACTTACAACCTTTAGAAAGGCAAAAGTAAACACAGATTATGGCCAAAACTCAACTCCACAACTGTACTCTACATTCAATATTATCTAAACCAAACTTTGAAAACCACTTGAAGTATCTCAGTTGTGCTGAATTGCTTTCAGATTATGTGTAACACATTTTTTAACTCAATATTCCAGTAAGCCTCTTACTGTCAACCAACACTCCATCCTGGCATCTCCAAAGAATAAATTGTTCAGGTGCCAATGGAGCAGTCTGCGGCAGCAGCAAGAGCCTGCCTATGGCACCATCCTAATTGTTTGTTGACACAAGTGGCCATATGGTTAACATGACACTAAACTCAGGATTTAATTACTAATAATGCATTCAAGTACCTTAACTAGTAACAGAAATGTATTTTATTTGTGTATCACTCTGCTGTGGATCCTCAAATCATCTCTGACCCTGTCCTTCCTTCTGGAGGGTGGCTACTTTTGTTCCCCATGGTCCCTGTGTGTGTTGTAATGTAGCCAATGCACCAAGCTCACTCCCATGATGGATTACAATCTCACGTTTAGTTTACTAATTTGTATTGAAATTATAGTCTATCCCGGGAGCAAGCTTGTGGAGCGACAGGTGGCTGCTTTACAACACACACAGAAACCATGGGGAACAAAAGTAGGCTCCCTCCAGCAGGAATGACAGTGTCAGCACCAATTCAGAGATGATTTGAGGATCTACAGCCGAGTGATACGAAAATAAGATCATTTTTTGTTAATAGTTAAGGTACTTGAAGGCATTTTTGAGGTTTAACTCCTGAGTTTAACTTTTCTTTAATGATTTATTTACCATTTGCGTTCATTGTCAACTTATTCCATATGAACTCCATAATTTGTGGCTGTTTTATGAAAGATGTGCTACAATGATCCTTTAACCCTTGGATCTTATGCACACCCGATCTGCAAACTCCACCGGCATAATTAGCAGTAAGAAATTTTCGTATCAACAGAAAACTGCACAGGGTAAAACAGAAGCTATCCTCAAAAAGGCATTTGTGCTTAGCCAACATTAGTTGTAGCCTAGGCTGGAAGGACTGCCCACAGCCACCAGCACATCATGTGCCAAGGTACCATTCTGCCACCCTACCTGCCAGATTGTTCCATCCAAGTCCTCAATGTTGCTGCCTCGTGGCAGTTTGTGCATTTTTATTTGTAGAACAGTGTATTTTGTACTTGAAAATGGAGGATGAAATTTCCGCCACCATCATTTTTCAGGGCAGAAAGACTTTAGAACTTACCTCAAGTAATTTTGTAGCACATTTCGGGAAAGTTTGTTCGACTTTCTAATCATTAATGTGGTCAAATCGATGATTGATTTGGACCGCAGTAAAGAAAAAATTCAAAGGCACATGATGGAAAATGTTTCTTGATTGCACGATATTCTGACGGTGAATGTGGTTTTCAATCGAAAACTCCATTCATTAAATAAAAATGAGAATTAAATCAAATTGTGAATCAAATTCATGTTTGGTGTTTGTAGTGCACTCAGGAGCACATAACCTGTATATGTAGACACCTCCCATGGCTGCTTTTAACGATTTAGGCCAGTTGTTCTACTTGATTTCCAGCACAGGTCCACCTTAAAGACCCACACTGCACAAGTTTAAAATAAATGTCAGGAGTTTGAATGACATTAGACTATCCTCCCGGAATCTGTTAAATTGTGATCTCGAAAATCCTTCGCAGTATCAGCTGCGGGAAGCCCACAAGATGACATTTATACAGCTGGCTTATGTAGGAGAGGCAGGTTTAAAAAGGATAGGTGTAATTATGTACATTGTCATGCAAATCCTTCCTGATTGTATCCTTGTTTGCCAGATGCCACAGACCTGTGACCTTCACATTTAATTAAAACACATGTACAGTGCATGAGGTCAGGCTGGAAGGAAATGAATGTGTATTAAATGCAAATGTACTTTACTTGTATTTAACCATACAGCAATCTATTCTTCAAGCATATCTAAAGCCATTGGTAGCATTGACTCCATAGCGACCTGCTGAGATGTTGGGTCCTCCTGCGGCTCCCTGTGGTGACCTGCCTTGAAATGAACCCAGACTCACCACCTCAACAGTAAGGATGCAAAGGAATTTAATAGGGCCTTGACAAGCCTGCAAAGGGAGTTTGGTTTTAGCTAAGGATGCACCAATACTAGTATTGGTGCCGATACCGAGTATTTGGCAGAGTACTCGCACTCGCTCAAGTGCTCTGATACCGGAACTTCCGGTCAGAGGGAAATTTCCCTCTGACTGGCTGTGCCGAGGGAGCATGGAGCCAGCTTCCAATCAGGAAGCCGGCGGTGGGTTATGACCCGCCTCCTGGCTTCCTGATTGGCTAGGAAGCAGGCTTCACATGTTGCTAATCAGGCTGTCTTCCTAACCAATCAGGAAGCCAGGTGGCATGTAATGACCCACCTCCCGGCTTCCTGATTGGTTGGGAAGCTAGGCTGCCTATGCACAAGTGAACCTGTCCTCCTAGACAATCGGGAAGCCGGGAGGCAGGTAATGACGTGCCCCCCGGCTTCCTGATTGGCTAGGAAGCCAGCTTCACTTGTTGGTAGGTATCCTGGCTTCCTGACCAATCAGGAAGAAGGACGGCATCTCATGACTCGCCACCCGGCTTCCTGATTGGTTAGGTAGCCAGGCAGCCTCAGCAAATGAAGTAGGTGTTCTTTCGCTAGAACACCGGTTTCACAGGTTGTCAAAAGCCGGGCGACGGGTCATGAACTGCCTCCCGACTTCCTGATAATCTGGACACATGGCACCGCTACTCGGTATCGGCAAGTACCGGCAAAAAAATATCGGTACTCCTACTTGATACAGAAAAAAGGGTATTGTTGCATCCCTAGTTTTAACAATTGCATCAATAACAGCAATAACCTGTTATTAAACACTGGCACAAGTAATAGCAAGATACATAGGTAACAATACAATAACCAAGTAGCTATTGAAGGGAACTCCATTGTAGGCAACAATCAGTATGGCCTATCTATTACTTTTATGACCCTAACTAAACCAGTGGCCAGTGAAAGAATGGATATAAATTATACTGGTAGTGGGTCCTTAACTTCCGCAAAAACACTCAGTCTAAAAGGGAGGGTATGTGTAATCCACAGTAATGGAGTTAGCGTAGCAGTTTCGTTAATCAACTCGAATCACAACAGTCAAATGCCCACAACAGCAACACGATGGGATAGTATAAAGATGGCCAGAGGTCTCTCACCCCTGGTGGTGGATAAGTGTACCCTGGTTAACAGTCTGTTACCATGTCCTCGCTGTAGGCCATTTGAGAGTCTTCTCCACACAAAGGCTTTCCCCTCTGAAGCATGTTCTTTCCCTCTTTGTGGAGTCCTCAGTGCAAGTCCTGAGCAGGCCTTCTGGGATCCTTCCCTTACTGCAGAATGCAGCGCAGTCTCTCCAGGTTCTGCACACTAAGTCTCTTCTTCACATATACTTTGCCCTGCACACACAGCAGTTCTCTAGGTTCTGAGTCTCTGCAGCCAGCACACAGCAATGGAGCAGTCCATGTGCAGATCTCTCCACAGCACAGCTCACAGTATTCCACAACTCTGCCTTGTGGCTCTTCTCCTGAGCTTCTTTTTCTCCCACTTTTACTTTCTCCTTTTCTCAGTACCAGTGGGAACTGCTAAAGGACCAGCTGGCTAAAGCAGCCAATCAGCATCCTTGTCTGATCTTCAACAAAATAGCCACCAAGCCTCCGTTACTGAGGACACTTTCTCTTCCAACCTGGAACTCCCTGTGTGATTGTTACATCACCTCCTGTTTGTGCCTCCTCTCCTCCCTTCACCTGAGCTAAAGGGACTGCCGGCCAGGCTACACAACCCTTTTTATTTTTGTTTTGGATAGAGTAGTGAATGGTTAAAACCAATTGCAATTTTTTCTGATGAGTGAATCTATCCAGCAGTTTCAAACCCCTTACTACTATTATTAAACCTAAAAACAAACATTTTGGCTTTAGATACACTTTAGATTGCCTTTCATACTCTTCATGAATTAAGCCATTCCTCTTTTTGAAACAACTTCGATCTTCCCTTACTTTCTAGGTGTCTGGCAATGGTCAAAGAACATATAGAAAGATATAAAGGGGAAATAGACAGCAATAAAATCCCAACAGTGAATTTAACACTTCCTCACTTTTCACAAAGAGTTTTTGCTGTAGATACAAACTACGTGCACTTTTGCCACCTTCCCCTGCCCTAACCTAACCCACCCTCCACCCAATGACTGCGGTTCTGCTGTTTGTCTACGTCCAGAGCTACAAGTCTTCACTGTCCTGGCCACACCTGAGTATTACAACCTCATATACTTCGATGGGACAATCTCTGACCATCGAACATAGAAGTCTATAGGGCACTAAAGCGCAGGTGTGGCCAGGACAGTGAAGACTTGCACCAATGGATGTAAACAAACAGCAGAACCAGAGACTTCACATGGAGGTAAATATGCATCTGTGAAGGGGAGGGTGGGTAAGGTTAGGTCAGAAGCAGGGGGCAAAAAGGATAAATGCACTTTGTTTTAAGGTGTGCTTATCCTTAAAGTGCTATGCTACATCAGAGATTTTAATGTGTTACTGAGAGATTTAACTATATTGTGGCAGTCACCTAATTAGGCTAAAGCTACACAAGAGAATTTTATTATCACAGCAATTAATCACTAAGCAGATAAAAGAAAATGGCTCCCTACTGAGTAAGCTACATAATAAGCATTTAGTAGCATGGAGTAATGATTAGAGATGAGCTCAGGTTCGGACCAATCCTAGTCCAAACTTGAGCTCCTCCAAACCTGTAGGGGACATGGGACCACCCACCTAATCAGTTTCGGGAAGGGCCATCCTGGGGCACTTATCAAATTGAATAAAACACATTCAATTGTATAATTTGACAAACCAAAGGTAAACAAATAAGAGAAATTCATTGTTAGAGTTTACATACACTTTAAATGCATATCCTTAACAG